AAAGAATAAGAGAGAAAAGAGAGAAAACTTACTTCAATCGCTGATTTATTATATCTACTGAAACCACTAAGGTATGTACTAAGAAATAGAATCTTATTTTCAAATGATTAAATCTCACAAGTTTACATGATCTATAGACTATACGGAAATCAGAATTAGTTGTTGAATTGAATGATAGAAAAAGCATTGATATATATAAAAAAGATTCATTAGTTCCAAATTATGAAGTTGTAAATGCAGATGATGAGGATTATATATTTTTAGAAAACCTACGAAAAGAAGCCGAATCTCTAAATAAAGATAATCACCTTTTAAATGATTATTTGTTCCACAAATACGAAAATATACATGAAGGTATTCTTGCTTTACAAAAAGATATAGAAAATTTAGAAAAACAGCATTTAAGGAAGGAGTTTGGAGAATATTAATGGAGGTTTGGTGTTTCTACTAAAATTATTGGGACAATATCATAAATACGAACAATTATTATTCCTTTTTAAATTTTCACCTTAATAGCAGAAAGATGAAAAGAATCGACTTAATCTATATTAGTCTTGATTAGTTTGAGATACAAAATACTTATTTATTTTTTTTTGTAAAATCAAATTGTTTAAGTCATTGGACAGCAATTCTGACTAACAAAAAAATCTCATGAACTCGTCATATGCCAACAATTCCTGTCATTTCGAATCAAAGAATTCCCGTGATCTAATGGAAAACAATTGAGATATTGTTTATTCAATATAGAGATTTAAGACCAATACACAAACGATAAGTAACTTTTTAAAGTCTACTTATTTAATTATGCAATTATACAGTGGCACTCATATTTTCGCGCCATCAAAAAAAAATCTTCAAATTCATATAACTTCTTGATAGCGAGATATTTTATGATAATTTTTTATACTGATTTATATTTTATATTGTGTTACACAATTTACAATTAAATTTGGATTTATATAATATACAAATTTATTGCAATATTTCGATATTTGGATTATTAGATATTATAGTGAAATTAATATCATTATAACGAATATCCAATTTTTTCAGCGTAGTGTTCTTGTAAAGTACATCACTTAATGATTTTCCTCCCTCTGATCCAAGTTTATTATTACTAAGAGCCAAGCAAGTCAGCGAGGTGTTCGTGTAAAGTGTATCAGCTAATGCTTTTCCTGCTTCTAATCCAAGTTTATTCGAAGCAATATACAAAGAAGTCAGTGCTGTATTCTTTCGAAGCGCATATGCTAATGCTTTTCCTCCTTCTGATCCAACATTATTCAAGCCAAGATACAAAGTAGTCAGCGTAGCGTTTTTGCTAAGTGCATCTGCTAATGCTTTTCCTCCTTTTGATCCAAGCTCATTATCGGTGAGACTCAAATGAGTCAGTGTAGTGTTCTTACACAGTGCATCAGCTAACGCTATTCCGACATCTGACCAAAGATTATTACAACTTAGATTCAAATAAGTAAGCGTAGTATTCTTGCAAAGTATATCTGCTAATACTTTTCCTCCTTCTGATCCAAGATTATTATCGAAAAGACCCAAATAAGTCAGTGTTGTGTTTTGGCAAAGTGCATATACTAATGCTTTATTAATTGTGCTGCAAAGTATAAAATACTTAAGATTTTTACTTGCTCGTAGAAACAACGCAATTAAAGCACGTTTGATAGCAATTGCATGTTCATCTTTGTATTTTTCGACATCATATCCTTCATTTTTAAGCCAATTTTTGATTCCGTTATTTAAATAAACACCAATAGATGTAGTATAACTTTCGTATTCAAATAATGGTTTTGGATAATTCGGAATACTAATTTTAAGGGGGGTTAATAGAGCTCGCTCTTCAGCATTTAACGCTAAAAGATATATTCTTATAAGCCTTTTATCATCAACTCGATTTGTAGGTTTACTCCATAATATTGGTACAATAATTCTACACCATTGGCGGTTTACAAGAAGACATGAAAATAAACTTTTATAATCAGTTCGAAAATTATCAAATA